CACATTCCTCATAATTTCAGCTGATATCTCCAGGAAAACTTGGAGATGAATTTCTTGAGCTTGGGTTTTTATGGAAGGAAAAAGTCCACCTGACTGACAGAAGCGTTCAAATGATTAGTAACCATGGGGCATGATCCAAACAAATATTGCCCAATAACACTCCCTGCTCCCATTTTAAGCCTCTTTAAAGTTTTAATTCAATAATATCGTATATACTGGGTATACACATTTGCAAAAAGCTCTAGTAGTCTTGCAATGTTTATTTACTGCAATATGACAATTTCAGAACAAAAGCCTAGCTAAACAAGCCAAATCCTTCTATTCCTTGGAGTAAATACTCTTGAAAGGTGGTATTATCCAATCAAAATCTTTCCAAGAACTATATTTAGTTTTCTTTACTGGTAATTATCAAGGATAAAGGTTTAAAAACACAACAGCGTAAAAGACAGAAATTAAGCCAAATTAAGTAAACATGAGAAGGAACTTGAACGGCAGCGCTTTCAATTTACTTTCTCTTATTATAAAAGCAGAGCTTCCCCCCCCCCAAGTTGTTGTATGCTTTTATTTGTAGAAATAAATATGAGAGTGAAAAATTATTAGCAGCAACTAAGGATCCATACAATATAACTGCCAGAAAGCAGAAGATTTTCATGTAATCAAGAAATCCATTCCCACTGGGAACTCCCAAAAGAGTTTGGCTCAGGTTATACATCCACACTTTATTGTGTTTCAATTTTAATTGGTCTTAGGCAGTGTTCCACATTCCCACAACTGCAAAAACTTAATCAAAAGCTGACAACCTTGAAAATCTACTTTGGGGGATTTCCTCCTTTAAAATGCAAAGCCACATTTGGCTGAGATCTTTGTCAAAACATAAACTGTCTGGTCTGGTTTGTCAAGCCCATTCCAATCTAGCACTTGGTCTCTGTGCCAAAAAAGGCCATCTTGGCCAGTCTGACTGATGACCTGTTAATTCTCTCAGCAACCTAAGATGCCATCAACCATTACATCCTTCTAGTCCATCCATAAAGGATAAATCATCCTGTGGTGATTCTATTTCTACATAAAAGTCAGCTTCCAGAGGCTATCTGGGGATTCACCCAAAGAGTAATTAACACATGGAATTCACTGCCACAGGAGGTGGTGGTGGCTACAAGCATAGACAGCTTCAAGAGAATTAGATAAACATATGGAGCAGAGGTCCATCAGTGGCTATTAGCCACAAGGTATAGATAGGAACTCTCAGTCTGGGGCAAGTGATGCTCTGTATTCTTGGTGCTTGGGGGGTGGCAACAGTGGGAGGGCTTCTAGTGTCCTGGCCCCACTGCTGGACCTCCTGATGGCACCTGGTATTTTTGGCCACTGTGTGACAGTGTTGGACTGGATGGGCCATTGGCCTGATCCAACATTGGCTTCTCTTATGTTCTTATGTTTTTCTCATTTGAGATGGGGTTCTCAAGGCACTTAAAGTAAATTCCAGAGGGTTCTATTTTCCCCACTTCCTTGATGCAGGCTAACATCTACATAAAATTGCTAAGAGAAGATGTCTGGGATTCCAGATGTGGCTTCATTAGCAGGTTAATGATACTCAGCTTTATTTCTCCTTTTCTTTACATTCAAACATAACAGGTATCGGGAATAAGTAATGAAACGGACCAGTCTAACAAACTAAAATTCAAAATGATACTGCTACTGCTGTGGGTTTGGTTTATGAAATCAGCCTATGCCAGATGAAGTTGTACCTTAAGGAGTAGGCTGATAGCTCAGGGTGCTTTTCAGTCACAGCCTATAAATGCTTCTGGGTCCTTCCAACTTTGGTGGTATATCAGTTCTGACCCTTCTTGCACAGAAGTGACCTCAGCACGGTTGTTCGTGCTCTGGATATGTCCCATTTTGATTACTGTAATGTTTTTATGTGGAACTATCCTCGAATATTCAGGGGTGTCGAACTCATTTGTTATGAGGGTCAGATCTGACATAAATGAGACCTTGTTGAGCTGGGTCATGTGTATCATAAAAGGTAATTCCAGGTAGCAGAGATAGAAACTTTATAAAGGACACAGACAAACAGAATTAAAGATTTTTTAAACTTTAAATAACACATTTCCAGTGAGTTCGACACCCCTGATAGCTGGTTCAAAATACAGCAGCTAAACTTAAACAACACATTAAGTCCTTATAGTACCCAAAAAACCCACTTCCTCCCATATAAGCCCATCTAGTCCTGCTTACATCAGGCCTCTCGACTCTGGGGTTGCTGAACTTAAATTGGAGGGGCCTGGGTCTGTTCTGCAGTGCAGACACATATTTGCCATGAGCTACTCAGAGACATTCACTTGCCAAGTCCAGTAGTGAGATTCAGGTACCACATTATCTCAGGATTTTGTTTGATTCTGCTTGTTACTGTTGTGGGTTTTGTTTTTGTTTTTTGCTATTTTTTAATATCTGCCTTTAAACGTATTTATCGTCCATTATTCAATTCTACTTTGAACGATATTTTAAAATATTGCATGCTAGTTTGAGCATTATTAGTTAGAAAAGCAAGACAGAAATATTTTAAGTGAATAAAATAAGGCAGGCCGTTGCCTTTCCCACATAAACAGTTCCTCGGAATAACTTGTCTAACGAGCTAAAGTATTAAGCCTTGAATGGCAGTTTTTATAGCTCAGAAAACTATTGGATTTCTTTCCTTTTCGGCTACTAAATGAAATTGAAAATAAGGTTTACATTTCAGATTTCTAGGAAGCTGAGCCAAGTGTGCTGTCTTGAATTTTTCTCACTCTATCTATTGGCAGCTTTCTGGGATACAAGTATATACTTTTTATTAGATATGTTCATTCTATTGATGAAGAGGGGGGAAAGAACAGTTTGTCCATGCCCACTTGTCAGAGGCTACTGTAAATCTGCCCATTCTTCCTATCTGGAAAAAGAAGGTCTTAACAGCTCCTAGGCACTGAGAAGGCAGCTGTCCACAGCAGACCGCAAAAGGATGCGGAATGTCTAGTTTCTTTCCTACAGCTTCTCCAAGAAGGCAGGATGTGGGAATTAGAGAAATACTACGATTCTGATTTGGAGGTAGTGCCGTTGGGAGGACTGGGATACAGAAACTGAATGGGTTAAGGAAGGTCTCAGCCTGAACACTACCATTCATTCAAACTCATCACTCAGCTGCCACCCGTTCCCACATACTTCTGTGCTATAGACAGGAAAGAGACCTGCATCCCAGGGTGGAAGAGAGGAAGGAGGAGGTCACTCCTGGCCGTCCAATTGGGATGAAAGAGGATGCAAACAACTACCATTGTGTAAAAGAGAACTGGAAGATGGGTGAGTTGCCACCTCAGAGCAAAGTCTAAAGGGGATGGAAACATGGATAACAGACCTTACAAATACTTGCAGGAGGCATCTCATTTCCCCCCCTTCTGCACTATTTCTTTTCTATCCCTGGAAGCCGTCACAGGCTCTTCCCTTTTCCTGCTTCCTTCTCTCTTTCCCACCCACAAACCTTTTGCCTGCCCCTCCCATTATGAGCCATCTTTACAATTTATTTACTTTATTTATACCCTGACTCTCTTCATGATGCGGAACCAAAGCAGCTTACATCACTCTCTTCTCCTCCATTTTACCTTTACAACAACCCTGAGAGGCATTCAGGTGGGTTGCCATGTTGGCCTGAAGCAGCAGAACAAAGTTTGAGTCCAGTGGTGCCTTTAAGGCCAACAGAGTTTTATTCAAGGTGTAAGTTTTCATGTGCAAAGCACACTTCTTCAGTCTGAAGAATTTGTCTGAAGAATAAAGAAGTGTACTTTGCACGTGAAAGCTTACACTCTGAATAAAACTTTGTTGGACTTAAAGGTGCCACTGGACTCAAACTTTGTTTTCCCGTGAGCCATGTTAGGCTGAGACCAGTGTAACTTGGTCCAAGGTCACTCAATGAATTTCCATAGCACAATGGAGATTCAAACCTGGGTCTCCTAGATCCTAGTTTGAAACTCTGACCACTTTACCACTTCTAGGGTGGCTTCTGTTGAACAGTAGTAGGCTTTGGAACCTGGGTGGGTCATGCAGTTTGCATGGTAGCAAATCACCAGGTGGCCTGGCTCCAATGAGTCCTCCCTCAAAGGCCAAAACAGCCCTGAAAGGACCTTGCTGCCTTTTACTGACAGAAACCAAGACCGAAAGGCTGGCAATACTGTTGCGCTTGCCTGGCAACTCCATGATAGGGCATTGGTTTTTCAAAGCTACAGGCACTGCTTCTCTTATTTGAAAAGGAGGGTAAACCCCTCCAGGTTTTTTAAATTTCAGGTTTTTCTGCAAGCCCAGGGCTTTTTTCACGCTTGTGGAAAGAACTGTCTTGTCTAGACAAAGCCCCAATATCTGGATTTAAGTATCCTCAGATGGAGCCACGTTGAGAATCTGATGTATTGATGACAGCCACCTTGGAAATTCCAGTGGATAAAAGGCAGCTACATAGCTATAACAGTCAATTAATTCTAGCTACAATCACATATTCAGCTAATCCATGTCCCTAACGTCAATAAATAGTATACCTTACTACTTCTTAAAAGTGTTGTTTTTCTCATGTAATCTTTAGAGATGGCTGAAAGCAAAAACACCACTAGCTTTTTTAGTCATTAATTATTTCAGAAATGCAGATGATTTGTCTGACTTACTGATGCCGATACTAGGTTTTTCTTATTATGGATCTGTGATGGCAAGGTATATTTCTCCTTCAGTAATTCTTCGATAATCCAGCATGAAATGACATTGCTCTCCGGTCATAATTAAATGCTATGAGAAACCCTTTATAACTTACATTGTTACAGTATTCATAAAGGATGGGAAATTGTGGAAGGCCAATAATAATAGTTAAGTAAAGAAGAAAAATAGTCTCCCCTCCCATTTTCTAAAGATCACTGAAAGTCACCTAACATTTAGAACAGATTTACGATTTAACTCAAAACAAACACATCAGAAAAGGAGGATTGTTGTGAAGACCTTTACCTTGAATTCTTCTACAATAATAGCCAAAGCCTCATGTCCAGTTCTTCTCATGTCTTCCAACTCAAGCTTATGCTTCTCCTGAAAGCAAATACATAATCATAAAGTGAGTAATAAGGTCAATTAGAGGGGAGCCTTCTGTGGTGCGCAGTTCCCCTGTGGAATTCCACAGGCATCATGATGCTGACCTAAGACTGTACTAGGGAAGGTTGTCAGCAGCGACTGTACTCATCACTAGCAGTTCCCAAAGTGTCTTGAATTCCATTTATATACAAAAATCCTATTACAACAGACACTTTCAGATAAATAATTTGTCCTGTACAGTTGTACACCAATTTTCATATGTAATTTACCACTGTCCTGGAAAGCACACTTTTTACTGAGGCAGAAATCCTGGAACATTTGTTAGCATAGAAGTCATCAATAAAATGTGACGCGGAATGCTAATCTAAAGCTATGGGAAAAGTTTTGCTTGCCCCAAAGTTAAAGAGATCTAAGTGTAAGTATACGCTCGGTATGGTGTATACGTTCTATATTGTCTTACTTTTTCTTATGAGTTAAAAGCACTGCTGTCCTTTACTACTCAGTCTAATCCCATTTCAAAAAAGCATACAGAAAAGACATATAAGAAAGGAATATTATTTAGTAGTATAACATCAAGTAGTATAGCATCAATATGCAGCTCAGGTCCAACTTCAAAGTCAGTCTTACTATTAATTTTGGGGGTTACATTAAAGAGCAGCAAATTATTAATTATCGTATTTGGCAACCCCCAAATGACACCTAAAGGGTGCCATAGCTCATGCTGATATGTTTCCTACTGCCCACTTGCTTCTTGAATGCCATGATAATATTCAAAAGATCTTGAGTAGGAACAGGACAAAACAAAGTGTTTCAGGTCACAGCCTATCCCACAAAGTGATGAGCTCATCTAAGTCCAGCACACCAAAGCTGTGCACCTTCAGCTTGGCCACAGACTGTCTCATGTTTCTGGGCTTGGAAACCACCCCATAGCTGTGCACAGGACAAATCCTTTCCTTTGGAAAATGAAAGCAAATAGCACCTGTTCACCAAAGCAAAATTCCTGTCCTAGCTTTCCGCCATTTCCTCAACAATGGAGGTGCTTCAGAATAACCCAGAGGCATGACCTTTTCTTCTGTAGAGTATCCATTTGGAAGCAGCTACTGTCATCATAGGACAACGCTTGGGCTAGACCTCCCGTCATTTTGCAACTGGCCATTCTGTGGAGGCACCACTATGGTCTCTCAAAATTCTGAAAGCGCCTGCAGACTTATCAAGGTTACCCTCCTTTATCTTAATTTTTGAGCCAAACAAAGATGGCAACAAAAACATGATGACTTTGAGTCTTTCTGATTCTTCTACAAGTTATGCACCTAGAATGTTTTTCACTCCTAGAACTTTATGTAAGACTGGATCTTTGAATATTTTCACCTTAACAATACTACTGTAGTCACAAGAAACTGGCATTGTTTAAAACTGTGATTTCCACTGGAAAATGTAGACACATTTACTATTTTGTTACACCCAGTATTTTATCCGCTGAATACTGAATCCCACAATAAGTTCTACCTATAAAAAGCAAGTCTTCCCAAGCACCGTCTTTTCTTGCTCCTAAAACAGCACCCTAAAATTATGAGCTTATTGACTCCTAGGTTTGATAACATGGGAAATTAACAAAGATTCTACCCTTAGGATACTCTTTATTTTGGCATGTAAATATCCCTAACTTTGAAGTTACACAGAATGAAACCATATAGTAAAAAGGAATGTCTTTCCACAATAGACGAAATGTATATTCAATCTGGAACAATTACAAAACCAATTTTTCCATTTCCCTTTATGCTTTTAAAAAGCAAAAATGGCATTTGGTTTTAAGTGCTGATGCACACTGCAGATCAAAAGCTTTAGCTTTATTATTGTATTTACTGATGCAGCCAAATATGGTATACTTTGGCCACAATCCATGTCTATGTGCAAACAGAACTCCTTTCATTACATGCTACAGAAAAGGAATAGATGCCGTATGTTTGTAGAAGTCCATCCACCTAAAACAAGGGCCCAAAACCTTTTTTAGCCTGTGGGCACTTTTGGAATTCTGCCCAGCATGGTAGGTGCAGCCACAAAATGGCTGCCACAGGAGGCGGAGCCATCCATAAAATGGCTGCTGCAGCTTACCTTCAGTCACGCAGTGAAGATCCTCCTGCTATAGTAGCAGCTGCCACCAAAGCAAACTTTTAAAAAATTTACACAGCCAATCAAATCTCCGATGGCCAATCAGAATTCTTGCTGGTCAAAAGCCCCACCTGGCCTCACCAATTTTCTAAAAACACTTGGTGGGCCACACAAAAGGTTTCAATGTGTGCCACGGCACCCACGGGCACCAGGCTGAGGACCCCTGACCTAAAATACTGCAAAACCTTCTCATATGTGAGACTTCAAATCACAACTACAATAGTACTAAGTGTATATGTTGAATAACAAGTACTAACTTTACTCATTAATGTCGTGCTTCTTCCTTACAGTCTCAAAACACCTTAGAATGTGCTTGAGACATGACATATCTTGACAGCTTTTCCGGGGGGGGGGGGATCAAACAAGCTCAGCACTGCCTTCCTGGCATGAATATAATAGGATATGACACTTAAAAAAAAAAAAGACAGCAGAAATTTTAAACATCGGATGCAGAAAACAAACCAGAATGTTAGAAAAGATATAGGATCAGGTTTCTATTGCATAATGGAAAATTCATCAATCTGTCATGCCTTTATCACAGACTTCTTGCTCTAATATACCTGCGATGAGTTACCTGTTAATATAATTTAGGAAGTGGTGACAGAATGAAAACGTGTCAAAAATCCTAAACACTATCCGAAGGATTACAACATACATTGTTAAGAGCAGCTGTTTATTAAGTATTTTAAATGTTAAAAAACAGAGAAATTCGGATAATCCCTTACTCGGCTTTAACCGGTTAAAAAGCTTGCTGACTTGGACTAAGCAGTTTTCAGACCTTCTGATTTCAAGGAACGCCTTCCACACCTGCTCCATTGTTGACAAAACCCTTCACGTCTGCCATGGAACCTCAGTGCAAAAGATTCTGGAATGTATTCTGGGGCACACGCCCAGTTTGTACGGAGAAAATATCGAGCCTCTGGGTTCTCACTGTTTTCTTCGAACTGAGCATGTGACCTAGAATACATCCAATACATTTTTGTATCTCTGCAGGAACGTGTAAGAGTCCAGTTGCACCTTAAGGACTAACAACATTTGTAGCAGGGTACGCACTTCATGAGTCACTGCTCACTTCTTCAAATCGGTCTGAAGAAGTGAGCAGTGACTCAGGAAAGCTCCTACCCTGGCACAAATTTTGTTAGTCTTTAAGGTGCTACTGGACTCTTGCTCTATTCTACTGCTATAGATTAACACGGCTACCCATCTTGATCTCTCTCCAGGAATGTGGGCAACCTGTCTTCCAGGGAAGCTTGACTCTACATTACCGGAGGGCTTATTGATGGCACATAATGAGCTTCTGAGTTCCCAAAACACAGTCAAAAAAGTACTGCCTTGACTTCCAGTTTATGGCGACACGCAGGCAGATGCATCTCCCGGACGTTCCGGGGATGCAAACTGCACACCAGCATGTAGGAGGGGGCGCAACGGGTTGCGACACACACACCCCCGGAGCCTCGGTAAAAGGCTCCTAGCCAGGGGGCTTTTGAGGGGCAATCTCTTCGATGGCGAAATGCCGAAGAATTGAGGCGTTCTTCCGCCCCGAAGGTCCTGCCGCTGAGTGACCATATGGTACGAGTGCTGCTGACCGGGACAAGTGTTGGAGATCGGGCGGGGAAAAAACCAATGCTGAGCAAGACCGGATGGGCCAACAATGAACTCTGAGTCGGGTCGAAGTGAGCATGAAGATATAAAAAGAAAGCTGCCCCCCCTATAAAGAGTGATGGGAAAGTGAGCGGGGGAGGAGTTCCTCCAAGCCGCATAGACAAAACACGGACAAGGGGGGGTGCAGAAAAATAAGCGTTTGAATCTGTTTTAAGAGACTTACCAGAGCGCAGATAAGCGTTTGGGCGAATATCAGAGACTTGAGCAACTTTTTGAAAAGTAAACAAATCCGAAAAGATGGCACAGGGCAGGAAACTGGGGGGGGGAAGCGTGGCTGTTTGCCCCGGGGCAAACTAACACGCAGTAAAGCGATCATACCTCCTGTGGAGGTTCTGTGGAAGTACCGTGGAGCTTCTGTGGTTACGGAGAGGCGTCGATCACAACACATGCCTGCGCGCAACGAAGAAGCGCGCGGCGCGGCGAACTAGTTTTCTTTTTTTGTGTTCACTACGAATGCGCATGCTCCGTTGGGTGCATGTGCGCAACCACGGGGACTTGGGAAAAAAAAAAACCTTTTTCACAAGGGGACATGGGCGGGCGCCGGATGCCACCGGAAACGCGATCAGACGCCCGCCCTTGCCCCGCAGTTTCCGGAAACTAGTACCTCCGAGGTACTAGTTTTTTGCTGCGCGGTTTCGGGAGGAAGCCTAGGTTGTGCCACAGAAGCGCTACGCTCCCCAGATGTGCTGGTGAGATCTCGCCCGGAAACTCCGCCTGTCTTCCGTATCTCTTGCGTGGCTAATATTGCGTGTGACCACAGCCAAAGAAAAGCTATTGAAACTGAAAGTAGTGGGTAGTCCTCGAATGGAAGAGGCTACTGAGCTCTCAAAACTGTTGGCTGATTCCTTGTGCCCTCTGCTGGAGGAGATGACTAATATCAAGCAACAACTGTCAACAATCTGGCAGAGTTTG